CTTCGGTCGGCCCCTCGCACGCTGGGTGGCCGAGGGACAGCCCCGGGCCCCAGGGCGGCTGCTCCCGCGGGGCATGCACGGCGCCCGCTCCCGCCCGCAGCCAGCCCAGCAGCGCTGGGGGCCTGCTCCGCTGCCCCAGCCCCCTGCTCACAGCCTGCTGGTCACGACAAAGCGCCAAGTACATTTACGGCACCATATCGAGGACTGTAACAGAGGGGAGGCAGTTTGCCTGTATGCAGCTAAGTCCTCTGAGCTCATTTTCACAGTTACCTTACTCAGAGACTCCGGAAGTACAAGGTTATTGCACTAACTTAATATGCAGCCCAGCACTGTATATTTTCGTAGTTAATATGCAGATCTAATTGCTTGCCTGGGTTTTGATTACCTTCTCTTCCTGGGATTTGCTCTTGTGTGGCTAATCCTAGCGAACTTCAAAGCATGAACTCTATGGCTTTTTTCGTTTCCTCAGTTTGTGTCTGAGACCAATGTCAAAACTCTTTGTAAGGAGCAGGATTCATTATTTTGTAGAGACAGTTTAGGAAAAAAAAACCCTTAGTGTTCAGCCATCGTTTTTTTAACCTCAGGGCCTTTACTTCTGCTGAACTAGAAGGTCACACTTGCTCTGTCCACAATTAGCATGTCCGCATTTAGCCTCAGTAAGCAGCATCCTCATTCCTGCCTATCTGCAGCTCCCTTCAAGCATGGCTCTAGCAAATACCCATAGGTAGCTCCTTTTCAGGTAAAGGCTATTTTTTTGTACGGGTGTAATGTGAAGAGATTTGACTGCTTCCCTGTCTCCAAGTGCTAAACCTAACCCACACAAATGCCTTTTACTGCAAGTGCCCCCACTTTCCTCACTTTCCCCCAGTTTTCTCTTCCTTTACCATTATCCACCTCCCCAGGATGAATATCCTTATTCCAGTGTGGAATAAGTTTGTTGGGGTTTTTTCAGACTGGTGAGTATCTACTTTAAATGCCAACTAAGTTTAAAGATAAGAAAAATGAAAGAAAAATAGCCACAGAACAAACTAATCTCCCTTTCCAAATATAAAATAAAAGCTGCCTTATTTTTAGGCTTTGCAGCAGCTCAGCAGCTCAAGTGTCATTTCCATGATTCCTTTCTCTCTCGATGACTGAGAGGCAGTGAGAGGAGGCGAGAAAAAACTTTTTTTGTTCCCCCTAGAAAACACATATTCAGAGCTTTCTCTAACCTGGTGTCTTTCTATGTTAAATCATGCAAACACAGAATTAAAATGGAATCTCCATAACTGAATATTTTTGTTAGCTTTGAGTAGACTGTATCTTGGTGATAAGACTAATATAATGGCATCAGCAAAGTGATACATGGGGACAGGGATTTTTTAAGTTGTAAATCTAACTCCAGCACACGACAACAAACCAAGAGAAGTCGGGCTTCAGGAGATGCTGGGAGCAGGATACAGAGTAGGGCAATTAGCTTCGAAACCGCCTGTCCCTTTACCCCGATAGTGAAGGCTGTGGCGGAAGAACAAGACTGAGAATCAATTTTGTACAATAGTGGGTTCATTCTGGTGCTGTGAGTAAGTCATGCTTAGCTTTGCTCAAGCTTATTGGCATCAACAGAGAAAGTCCCCATGATTTCAAGGCTAGTGGACCAGGTCACTAACTCTTTCCATTTCTTGGACCTTTCATGAATTAAAGGAAAGAAACTTTTTTCCCTTTTCCCACACCATCCAGCAGGCAGATACTAACACAAGGTGAGCCTTGAGCCGTCTGCTCTTGAGACTTAATCCCCCCAAAATAAGTAATACCTTTATAGCATCACAGCATTGACAGTAGCTGTTACCTCAGTGAATGCAGGCAGTAATTCATTCCAATTTCAGTACATCTCAACATAAAAAGGTTTTTGCGTTCGCCAATATATTATGAGCGTGGAAACATCTAATTGAGCTACACAATCGGAAACAAAACATTCCGTGTGTTAGATATTTGACTTTTTAGTCTAAATCATCTGAAAAAATTGAATGCTTATTTCATACCACCACGACTGCTGCATGTGAAAAAGACTTTTCCATCTGTAAACATGATCTGTTGCACATCTCTAAATAAACGGCTACCCTAGCAGAGGAAAGCACGAGGGTGTCCAATACACACTGTGAAATGCATTCTGCTTTGCTCTCAACTGCAGCAAAGGGAGTTATTCGGGGAAATCTCCTGGCCACTGTGCGTTGCGTTGCTGCTGTTTGCCCTTTGGGACCTTTGCTGTTGATCAGCAGTGCCAAGCACTGAACCAGTTTGCCTTGGTTACCCTGGCAGCTAACTCAGCTATTCGCTCCGTGAACGCACACCCCGGCTTTCTCATCGCCCTGCGCAGGGCTCTGGCTCTGCCCGGGGCTAGCAGTGCTAGATGCGTATGGCTTTCCTTCACAACTGTGTCCTTCAAGCTAATTTTTTTTTCAAGTTTCTCTCAAAGAATCTTCCTGTGTCTGGTTTAGCAGTTGGATTAAATTCTTATTCTTTTAGCGTGCAGTCTCAGTTAGCACCCAGTGTTTAATCTGGATGTTTGAAAGTCTGATAAATCTATTAGTAGCAAAAAATCAGGCATCTCATTTCTGGATACTCTAAAATTCATCTTCACTTCTGTTTGAATATCCTGGATTTTTATTTAAAATAATATCATGTGTATGTTTCTGCTAAACCGTATTTCTTCATCCTAGAGTTATTATGTCCAGTGTAGATATTTCCAATGAATGATGTGGATAAAATAGAAAACATGCTCATACTTACAGTTCTGCTGCAGAAAGGGCTCACAAATAATGAAGGAGCCAACAAGACTGAGAAGAAAGTCACCCTGTAAAAAAAAAAAAAAATCTGATGCAGAAAGACCCAAGAGAAATTCAGAGTGACAAGTCCTAACAGATCTTTTGCAAGACTCCAGTGCATGACAATTAGAAAACATAATTTTTGTTTAAGAACTACAGCTTGATCTCCTGGCTTGTCTACTTTTTTAAGGGCTTTTTTCTACCTCTGATCCTCAGCTGGAGCTGGGCTAGGCCTAGCCTTGAGTACAGGGTAGCGCATAAGCTACATTCAGCTGCATTTAAGTTAAAGAAGCTACGTTTTGTACAGGAGTAGTACAGAGATGCACAAAAGCAAAAGCACAGAAACCCATTGCTTAGTCTCTGCTGTTCCTGATTTCCTGCAGTGTACAAGGTAATTTCCGACATATTTT